CTGGAGAGGACGCTCTGTGTTGTGTAAGCGACCTTGTTTTGCCATTTGTCTGCAGCAGAATTTGCTGCAGGCAAATGATCCGTATTATCACCTACTCTGCCTCCTTGAATCCTCTATTCACTTCATTAGCTTTGTCTTACTCATGCTGCTGCCAGGCTCTGGTAGTTAGAAGTCTTGTAAATTAAAATACTCTTTCTCATGTCTGTAGAAAGTGGAAGTGGCCACTGGCCAAGCTGAGGGGTGCAGGGATAGGCCCTGCTTGCTTTTCATCTCCTCTGAAGTCAGGTCTTCAAGGCTGCTTATTTTCGGGGCAAATAGAAAGACTTGGAGTACTGAACCATATTTTAGCGTAACTGATGATTTTTGCCGTATCTGTGCTTATGAAGCGCACCATCTGCTGCTGCTAAGTCGCTTCAGTCGTGTCCGACTCTGTGCGACCCCATAGACAGCAGCCCACCAGGCTCCACTGTCCCTGGGATTCTCCAGGCAAGAACACTGGAGTGGGTTGCCATTTCCTTCTCTGATGCATGAAAGTGAAAAGTGAAAGTGAATTCGCTCAGTCGTGTCTGACTCTTTGTGACTCCATGGACTGCAGCCTACCAGACTCCTCCATCCATGGGATTTTTCCAGGCAAGAGTACTGGAGTGAGGTGCCATTGCCTTCTCCAAAACAGCACCATAACTGGTTCCAAAGTGGCCCAGATGGAGCCTAGCTAGGGCCAGCCCAACCTCTGTCCTCGCAGGCAGAAGAGCTCAGCCTCTCTGGATACCTACCTCCTGGCCCTGGGGGCAAGGCTGTTTCTATAGGTGCCTCTGGCCTCTTGCTTCTGGAGGTCATCATGCCTTTCCAAATGCCTGGAGCCAGCATCAGTGTTTCAAAGCAGACCAAGGAGCCCAGAGCTGCAGTCTTTGGAGCCGATTTAATGCTAAATTTCCCATCCACTGAGGAAATCCCCGCTCTAACAAGAAGAAATGGACTGAGAAGTAGCTCTTACTCTTCTTCAGCGCCAGATAGCCAGAAATGCCATTCTTGTAGGCAGGCACCAGCCACCTACTGTGTCTCAGTCTTACCACCTCAGAAAGTGACTTGCCAATCTCAACTGGTGACGGGTTGCTGCTGGAAGACTAGGGAGAACAGTACTCTGGTCAACCGTGAAGACGGAGACCACAGTTCCCACACACTCTGGTTCGGCACCTATTAAGTGGCTGTCATGTGTTGGTCACTGGGTTAGCCCTGAGGATACAGACAAGACCCGAACAGCCCTGCCTAAATAGGGCCCCTGCTTTGCCTAGCAGGCAAGACTGGCCCTGAGCAAGTAATTTCACAAATGGGGCCCAGGGAGTGGGGAGGGGATTCGCCCTTCCTGTTTTAATCCAGTCCCTATAAGGACTGTTTCTGCCAGAGCCTGAGAGCAGATTGAGATGCAGCCTACAGGTTGAGGCCTGTGTTATGTAACGACGCCCCCAGAACACGTTGCTTTGTTCATTCTCATCGGAATACTTGGCCCTTTGTGGTCAGCTTCAATTAAATGCTAGATTCTACCTCTCCCTTTCCCCGCCCCCACTGGAGCTTGGTTTTATTTCTTTCCTGCAGCTTCTCCTTCTCAGGGTATCCTGGTCTCCGCCTTGCAGATCCAGGTACCTCACTCTGTATAAAGGCATTTGAGACCTGTGGGAGTCCCAGCAGCACTTACAGCCTCAGACCAGTCAAGGGAACTGAGTAAGGAAGAATTCCAAAGATAGAGGACTTCTTTGTCTCTTTCTCATCTGGCCTCAGGGCCAGCAGGGCAGGTTGTTGCACGTTTAAGCTGCTTTCCCCTAAGCAGGCCGCAGGGTAGTCTGGGAGAACGGGAAGCAGATTAAATTAATCTCAATGTGCTGAGCTTGGCAGGGGGTGAGATCATGTATGGTCATTCTAGAAATAGCCCAAACTCCTTTGTTGCTAAAGCAGATGATGAAGGTTTGCCTGCAAGATGACTGCAAAACAGAATCGTTGCAAACCTCTGTACAAGTTGTAAAGCACTCTCCTGCCCGTCCCTGGGACTCTGTCTCCTGCAACCAGCCAGAGTCGTAACAGAGAGTGGTTGTTCTAAGGATGTAGTGAAAAGGCTTATTAGTTTGTTTTCTTGCTTAACAAGATCCTTTTTTTTAGAACTTAGATTCAAAACAAGTCTTTTTCCTCCCAGAATTAAGCGTTGGCCCTGTAGCCCCTGGGCTGGTTAATGTCTCTGTTTGCTCCTGTATTTGGCATGAGGAAAGAATCTGTCCTCAGGAGCCACCACCTCTGCAGTGGACATTAGTCAGTAGAGTAGAGGGGCCAAGAAGAAGAGTACAGCAAGGTTGGCGAAATCTCAGGGAGATAAGGTATCAGCACCCATTTGGTGATAAATATTAGTGAAAAGCAGCAGGTGGGCATGATCCCAGAATTTAGAGGAAAATTGATTAATTGCATAGAAGTGCTATTAAACTAAAACAAAACTCATTGCCCTCCATCTGTACTCTCAGCAAGAAACTGGTTTTGTTCAAAAGAAACAAAACTCTTACAAACTGGATCTCTTAGATCAATACTTGATACGATATGTTAGTGTTGACTACCTGACTTTAAAAGATGCTGACAAAGATGACAGAGGGTGATGAACTTGCAGCCTTTTAGATAAGAAGTAGTTGAAGGAGCAGAGGGAGTGTGGCCTGGAGAAAATGCGTACTGGGATCATGCGTGCCATCCTTCATGACACCAAGGGCATTTCTTGAGTGTTTCCCAGTGTGCTCACACCGCACTGCCATTCATCCTCTCACTTAGCCCTCATAGCAGGGCTATAGAGTGTTGTCTTATCGTCTGTATTTTATAGCTGGGGAAACCGAGGCTCAGAGACAGATAAGGACATGCCCCTAATCCACTTGAGACCAGTCTCTAAGCCAAGTCTAAGGCTGTGTTTTTACCCATTGTGCAAGTATGATTAGCCTTGTTCTGTGTGGTCTTAAGGAATAGAGCCAGGATAAGTGGACAGAAATTAACAGATGGATTTTTGGCTCATTATAAGGAAGAACTTCTTGAACTGCCCAAGTTGGGGACAAACTACTTCAGAGGTAGTGAGTTCCTTTGTCATTAGAGGTGTTCAAGCAAATGCCAGAAAATCACTAAGTGGGGCTGTTACAGAGAAAGGTCAGGCATTGGTAAGGGCTTGAAGCTAGGGAATATTTATCTAGGCTCTAATTAGAAGGAAATAGGTGTCATTTAAAAATAGGATTTTAATTTAAGTAGTAAGCTTTCTATCTTAACATTTATTCATTTTTAAAAATACACATTTGCTTTTTCATGTATTTAAAATTTAAAAGCAAAGAAACTTAATTGATTGCATAGTTAACTCAGTCCTCCTAGTTATTCATGGATTGTTAAGGAAAGATTTTTTTTTTTCACTTCCCAAACACCTTTACAGTTTAGAAACACTGATTCTGAAGTAGAAAATTTCCATCCCTATAGAAAAGTCAAAACTGTCCAAAAATTTTTTTTCAAAGGAGACTATAAACATTGAAAGGAATTTTTCTTAACTTGCTGGTATGACTGTGTCTCCAAAGAATTATTTTAAAATCTCCTTAATCACATCTCTCAGGTAACTCCTGCTCAGCTCTGAAGTTCATTACAATTGAATTATAGAAGTCTGAGTACTGAAGATGTATGTCATAGTTAACTTTTTTTAACAAAAAAGATTTATCCCGGTTTATTGTATGCTAGGACTACTAGTAAGAAAGTCAGCCAGTTATAGACCTTTCCTAAAATGTTTACTTGATTTCTCCATCCTGTATAATTAGGCATTGTAAATTCCTCCTCTGCAGTGGGATTTTGGATCTTTAACATGGAATAAGAGCATCTTCCTATAAATTTTGTACAGAAATTGCTTTAATAATTATACTGAAATCATTTTCCATAGTGTGTACACATATACACACTGAGTTATGCTTACTGTCAGTAGGCTTGTTGCAATAAAGAAATGGCTTTTTCTTTCTTTCTTTCTTCTTTTTTTAGGAAGTTCCAGTTTAAAAGCAGCCTCAGCTCACACAGTTGGTGGTGGTAGAGAATGGCCCTGGGAAGGGGTAGGAAGAGAGTTACAAAAGTGAGGAGATAAAGGTTGTTTCTCACAGAGTGAAGCAGCTCATGAGAGGTACTGTTTGAAGTGGCGATGAGGAGGAGGTCCCTCAGGCGGTTCCATGGAGGCTGCCCCTCACACTGTTTGGAGCTCTCTGTCAGGCCTTTCAGAGGAAGGCTGGCAGGCCTATGGGGAGAACTTAGGCAGCACAGTCCATGGAGGGAAGGAGTCTGTGGTTGGCCAAGGATGAGATTGAGTATGAAGCTGAGAACTGGATAAGAGGTTTGATTCGAAGCACAGGACCTGCAGGAACAGCACAGATAACCTCATCTCTGCCTGGCGGCTTCCTTGGTGGAGAAATAGAACACATGTATCTCAATGCAGTGATCCCAAACAGCCAGTCTTTGCATAGGCACATCTATATTACAATGTTTACTTGGGGTTCAGTACTTTGACATTTCACAGCATGCTTAAAATTGGGCCCTTTTCCGAGGAACCTCATAGAAGTTTCCTTTAATCTGTCTCCCCCAGACCCATCAAGCCCCAAGCCCTATACCTAGTTCAGCTTTTTTCATCCTGGTTTTAGATGGTACCTTGAATACACTTTTTTCCCTTGAGCTGAATGTTAAGTTGTTTGTCCAGATCAGTATTGACCAAGGTCTTCACTTCTCTGAAAGGCAGAATCCTTGTCTGTTTAACCTAGTCAAACTATTCTTAGCGCAGGATAAGAATAAGAAACACGTCTGGTTGTTGAGCTTTATTGCTGTAGAGCGGACTGTAGTCTCGTGAAGGTGTGTCCACGGAAACTGTACCACTTTGAGTGGTCGCTGAGGGCGAGGTGGAGTCCCTGCTCGCCTTCTGCTGGCCTCGACCTGGTTCTCACCTCATCCGCTTGTGTCCTCCTTTCCTTGCACAGAGACAGGGCAGGGCATTGTTCATGCACTGACCGACCTCAGCAGCCCCGGCATGACCTCAGGGAACGGAAACTCTGCCTCCAGCATCACCGGCACTGCCCCCCAGAATGGTGAGAATAAACCACCACAGGCCATTGTGAAACCCCAAATCCTGACGCATGTTATCGAAGGGTTTGTGATCCAGGAGGGGGCGGAGCCTTTCCCGGTACGGACTACTTCTTTTCCCCTCTTTTTTTTTTTTTTTTAAATAAGTATACTTTGGATGTGTATTAGAATATTTTTACATTTCCATGTAAAATTTCTAAAAATGTGAAAAAAAATTGCTCTTTTCTTGCTTATTTCCCCCCAAAGGAGTGTCAGACCCATTTTCTTTATAGGCTTGTCTTCCTAAGATCCAGAAGGGGTCAGTAACTAAGAATAATTGGCATGACCCCTTTAGTTAGAAGTTTCCAGACAGACTCAGCTGTGTCCCCACCTGGTGAAGTGGGAACCCCTTGGTTAGAAGGGAGTTCACATTGGGGTGTTGGGTGCAGGATGATGTACTTTGGGAAATGAGACCTTGTTCAGGTTTGAATGCCACAACTCCCAAATGGCAACCCTTTAGCCAGTTAGAGAGCAAAGGGAACCTGTATAGAAGAGAATCCTCAAGATCTATCTGAATGGAAGATAAGTGAACAGAGTTCTCGCCTGAAGATTCTTTTCTGGGGACAGAGCCTTGAAAGAGGAGTGAGTGAGCGTAAGGGGCTGTTCAGAAAGGGGCATTTCATCAAGTGTCTCAAGTTAAGCGTCATACCACAGGGAAATACAGAAGAAGCAAGAAAATGGCTCATTAGAACACAGCACCCAGCACTGATAGTGCATGTGTAATTTGGTGAGACAGGTTGCCTGCTCCATAGGTGAGAGGGGCCCAGAGCCAGGTGCACTCCAGCCTCTCATGATAAAATTAACTGGTTGTTAGAGACACAGCATCTTCATGGGATGCCATCTGTCTTTTGTGCTTTCTTTGGATCCATGAGTGGTTTGAACAGTCAATCAAAGCCTCTGAGCTTGATTAACTGAGATGGGTGGACTGCCCTTCTGAAATGCCAGGAGACAAAAATGCCCGGACAGGTTCTCATCTGCTTTCCCTCTGGAGGTCCATCATGGCCTGTGGCCCCTTAGCTACAAGGAACTTTAGCCCTTCACATCCCCTCCTTCATTAGACTCAGTCTTCCCTTTGGCCTCCTAGAGAAACACCAGAACCCAGCTGACCTCACAGTGTAGATGCAGACAGGGTAGCAGCCCCAGTCTCCCTCCTAGAGCTCTGGCCACCAGGCTGCCTGATCAAAAGGCAACAAAGGGGGTAAACCAAAGCGTGAATGAGCCAGTCCAGGATTGGCCTTTCAGTGTGGCCCTGCATCCTCGTGTTCCTCTTCTTCTCTGTGGCTGCCTGTCCCTCTGACTTGGGTAGGGCAGTGGTAAGGGAGAGCAGTAAGGGATCCAGGAATGGTGGCCAGGACTCTTGTGTCACCTATAGACTCACACGCAGCCTTAGCCATGTTCCTGCCCCAAGACGTGAGGGCTAGGGCCTGGCCCTGGTTCCAGCAATGCCGGAACCTGTGTCCCTTAGACAACTTGGGAGAAGAGATATCCTCCTGACCCTCTAAACCATCCGTCAGTCCTGGGCTGAAGCCATTTTCATCCCTGTCCTTTGGTGGCCATTGGCCTCTTGCCTCATGAGCTCAACAGCAAAACAGGCCTTGAGCAGGTGTGCCTGGATGGTGGTGGGGGGTGGCCTCTGCGCCTGGGTGCTTTATACTTGTGATTGTGATGAGGCTGAGAGCAAGGGAGCCTGCCCACCTGACCCTCACGGCCTCCCTGTCGCCTTGTCCTCTAGGTGGGACGCTCGTCCCTGCTGGTGGGGAATCTCAAGAAGAAGTATGCACAGGGGTTCTTGCCTGAGAAACTTCCGCAGCAGGACCATACCACCACCACTGACTCAGAGATGGAGGAGCCCTATCTGCAAGGTAGCGTGCCAAGACCCTGGATGCTGGGGCTTCGGGCAGGGTGGAACAGGACATCAGCAAGGCTGGAAGGTCCTTTCCTGGTGTCCACAGAGGGTCTCAGAGCCAGAAAGTGTGTGAACATGTCGATCGACCAAACATTTCCCCCATCGTGCACTCAGCCCCGTCCCTGGGAAGCAGACAGGAGCTCCTGTCCCAGGGGAAACGTGTGTCCTCTTCCTCTCCAGCCCCGGGATCCCCGGGAGTTACTGCTGAGTTGTAGGCCAGCCGGTGCGGCCCCAGGCGAGTTGCCGCCTTCCTTCTCTGCCTCAGGGGCCTGCACTCAGGAGAGGGGCCAGTGCAGTGGCACAGTGAAGCCAGTGAGGGCTGCACTTGCCACAGAAGTCCCAGGCTAAATGGAGGCGGGTGTGGTGCCTGCGAGGCTGCCATCTCCTGGGCTCTGATACCCAGGCCAGCAGCCAGCCAGACACCCCCAGGAAGGTTAGGGCGATTGCAGACCAGTGGTGACAGTATTAGCACTTTCCCTCTAGAGGGTCGCCTGTTCTCTCCTGGAGTCATAAAGAGGAGGCTGCTAGTTCTTCCCCACCGTGTTTTGTCTCCTAGCCCCTAAAAGAAGAAACTGCCAGGTGTCCAGGGGACACCTAAACAGCGGGGAAAGTGGTTTGGCGCTGCTGCAGGGCATGGCTGTGAGCACACGGACAGTCTGGGCAGAGTGTGAGAGGCGCCAGGGCAGGCTGTGGGCGGTCCTGTGGGGACCACTCACTGTCTGCACTTACAAACTTTCATGCCTTTCAGAATCCAAAGAGGAGGGTACTCCCCTCAAACTCAAGTGCGAGCTCTGTGGCCGGGTGGACTTTGCCTACAAGTTCAAGCGTTCCAAGCGCTTCTGTTCCATGGCTTGTGCAAAAAGGTAAGTGCCCTCACCCCGCTTTTGTGCCCAGCCCCTCCCCTCTTCTCAGGGCTGCGCCTTGGTGCCCAGCTCCCTATTTCCGTGCCCTGCCTGGAAGCAGTGTCCTGTCACTTGTTCACCCGAGAACTCCATGAGCAGGTCCGGGTAAGCAACATTAAGCCCACTTGGGAAGGAAGAGGCGTTTAGCTGTCTGGCCCTCCTGGGCAGCCCTGGCACCTGGCTCTGGCAGCTCCCATCTCCTTAGGGTTACCTAAGCCCCCACTGGAAACGTTGCCCTGAGCCACTGTACTGACTGCATTTCCTTTGTGAGCTTTCACCCGACTCAGAAGACAGATGATCACAGCAGACACCAGTGTTTATTGCGGGCCTGCCCTATGCAGGTCTCTGTGCCAAGCGTTAATATGCGTTGTGTCATCTCGTCTCGAGTAACCCTGTGAGACAGGTATTGCTGTCAGGTCCTTTATACATGATAGGAAACTGAGAAACACAGGAAACTGAGGCACAAGAAGTAGTTGTGCCTAAAGTCTTTGAGCTGGGAATCTAGACGTCTGACTCTTAAGTGCTGTGTGGTCCTTGTGCCAAGGTGGAAGGGCCCGAGCTCCGAAAAGAAGGGACTCTAGGCCCCCAGGCAGAGGGGCCCTGCGGACAAGTTACAGTAGGGCTGTCCCAGCCTTCCTTCCCCTTGGGCTATGCTGGAGGTCCTCCTGGCACCTTTGTGATGCTTTGCCAAGCTGTCCCCCATCAGAACAGGGGACACTAGCTTCTTGGCACAGGTAACGTGTGGAATAGAATAGGGCAGCCCTGAGTTCTTACCACAGTCCAGGCAGTTGGGTCAAGCACAAGCTTGTGTGACTGCCAGACCAGTTACAGAAAGTGAGTGGTCTCGTCCCCAGCTCCAGACGGGGAAACAGGCGCTGAGTGACTTGTCCAGACTCACACAGCCAGTCCTGGGTGATAGACTTAAGACTGGAACCAGTAGACAGACTCAGATTTTGCCCCTTAGCTGCTGTTACTCCTCCTGGGGCCCATGGGCACCCTGCAACTGCCCTGACCTCCCTTGTTCCCCTGACTCTGGCAGGTACAATGTGGGGTGCACCAAACGAGTGGGGCTTTTCCACTCGGACCGGAGCAAGCTGCAGAAGGCAGGAGCCACTACCCACAACCGCCGTCGGGCCAGCAAAGCCAGTCTGCCGACACTTACCAAGGATACCAAGAAGCAGGTGAGAGGCCGGCAGAGCCTGGAGCTCATTCTCTCAAGTCCCCACCGACTTCCCTTCCTAGCACAACCCTGGGTGCCCACCGTCCTTTCTGCTGTGGCGGTCAGTGCTTCATCATATTCTCATTTCTCCTGATGTGTCAAGTCAAGCCTTTCCCATGTCCCTTTGGAGAGCTCTCTTAGATCCATGGGTGCTCAAGAGGGACCCAGGGTCCCTCTTCCGTGATCTTGCCTCTGCTGACCCCATTCTCCCAGTCTGCCTCCATCCTTGACTTCTGGGGCTGCCCAAGAAGACACAGGCTGTCCCAGGTAGCTACGCCTACCTTACCTGAAGGGCTAGGGGAGAAGAAGCTAACACGCTTCATCTCCCCACCTTTTTGCTTCTCTGTGCATCAGAGCACTGAATCCTTGAAGGTCTCTATCAAAAACTGGATGTTCTGTTCATTAAGTATGTTTCAGCACCAGCTGTGTGCCAGAAACTGTTAGGCACTAAAGCTCTGAATTGTGCTGCAAGAACTCACAGCCTAGTGTGATGCTTTAGACCGTATGTTTGTTTTGCTACTTATTGTTTGGCTCTTAAACCTCTTTAAGAATCTGATGAAAGCTATAGTTAAAAATGGACACACACAAGAAAATCTACATGCTCTTTCAGGTGGTGCACAGACCACTCCCCAAGACCCATAGAGCCCTGGTTAAAAAAAACCCACATCTACGAGAAAGAATAGACCTATAATGAGATTATTGCAGTGCTGGGTGGTACGTGCACCAGTACTGGGATTCACTCTGCTTAGGATCAGAGAGAAGACGTTGCAAAAGATACTTTTTGATCTAGAATTCAAAGGTACATAGCAGCCAACCACGTAGAAAGGGGAGACTAACTGCTTTTGTCCAACACTCTTGCTAGAGTTGGTTTACTCCCCCATCCTGAAGAAAACTGTTTCTCTCTGCTCCTAGCCGACAGGCACCGTACCCCTTTCAGTTACGGCTGCCCTGCAGCTAACACACAGCCAGGAAGACTCCAGCCGTTGCTCAGATAACTCAAGCTACGAGGAACCCTTGTCCCCCATCTCAGCCAGCTCGTCCACCTCCCGCCGGCGACAAGGCCCGCGGGACCTGGAGCTCCCTGACGTGCACATGCGGGACCTGGTGGGCATGGGCCACCACTTCCTGCCAAGTGAGCCCACCAAGTGGAACGTGGACGATGTCTATGAATTCATCCGCTCTCTGCCAGGTGAGGCCCTTGGGAGTTCCATGCCTGCCTGGAATAGCAAAGAATGAGAGGGCGTGAGAGACCTACCACCCCCAGGAGAGACTGGGCGGTTCAGTGAGAGATGCAGGTTGAGGAACAGGGCGGAGATAAGCGTGAGGAGATGCCTGCCCGCGAGCGCTCACCTTCTAGCACAGTGCCCTGACCGGTGTCCTGTGGCCTGATGCCAGCATATCTGGGCTCCGCCAGGGGCCTGTGTGGCGATGATGACGTGACCCACCCTGTGTGTCTCCGGGGTAAGTTGGGAGGGGCATCAGGTGGGAGTGAAGGAACGCTGTCAAGGAGAACGCAGAAGGCGGACACCAAGTGGCAGTGGACGCGCAGGCTGTGCCTGATGGAGGGAGCAGCCGGGGCAGAGACACAGAAGCACGTGAGGGAGCCACAGGCTGCCTGTGACCCTGCGCATGCAGGGTCTCAGGGCGAGGATCTAGAAATGAAGCTCGAAACACAGAGCTCGCATCTGCACGGCTGCGCTCATTGAGGCCCCAAAACTTTTCACGGTTTCTCCTGCCAGTCTCACCCAGGCTCTGGCCGGGTCGTGGCGGCCATAAGCCGGTTCACTCAGAGACTGAAGTGGACTATGGTGGTTGAGAGCGGGCCTCGGAGTTAAACAGAACTAGGCTCAAATCTTGGCTCTGCCACTTAACCCACTGTGCTCATTATCTGTTGCTGCAGCCCCACAGTTTGTCAGCACACAGGTGGTTGGGGTGGGCAGTTCTTCCACGGGCATTCTTAAGAGGCTGTGGTGTCAGCCAAGGCTGAGGCCATCTGAAGGCTCAATTGGGGCTGTTAGATCCACCCTCAGGTGCCTCACTCATGTGATTCTCAGAGAGGGGATGGCCATTGGCAAGAGGCCTCAGTCACTCTCCACATGGGTCTCTTCAGAACACTCATGCTCTAGGATTCTCGTGATACGGCAGCCAGTTGACCCCCCAGGAGGAGATCTGAGAGAGCAAGGTGGAAGCCACCTGTTGTGCCCTTTATGATCTAGCCTCAGAAATCACGTATTATCACTTCAGCAGTATCTTATTGACCACACAGGTCAACCCCATCCATTATGAAGGCTTCATGAAGACATGAAAGCAGGGGTTATTGGAGGGAGCTACTTGGAGGCCAGTTAGTATAGTTCACCCCAGTGATTCAAGTTCCTGCCTCATACAGAACACCCCCACCCCGACCCGAGGCCCCACAGGTCTCATCCCATCACAGCAGTGGTTCAAGGTCTTAAGATCTCAGCATCTGACTCAGGTCCAGGCCCAGATGAAGCTCGATGGGTCCAGCTCCTCAGGGAGGGTTCCCTCAGCCTTCACACCTGAGAGTGAGGAAGGTCGTCATCTTCCCTCCACGAACCTAGGAGATGGTGGGACGGGCACAGGGTCATTGCGGTACATGTGCCTGTTGAAGAAGGGAGCACACAGGAGGCTGCAGGAGTCACCAGCCCACACCAGGCGTGTGGGCATTTCCTTGATAACGAGGAGTCCGAGCCTGGAATGACTTTCCTCCTCCGAGTTCCACCCTGACTCATCCTTCCTCTCCCTTGAAAGGAGGTAGCTCATGGAGTTGTCTTCTCAGCCTACTTCCTGATGCCTTTATTTCCTATCACCTCTGACCCTTTCAGTCCAAGTGAGCAGTGTTTCTGCCAGACAAGTCTCTTCCTCTTTGTGGGCTTTTTAAATAAATCTTATCCAAAAGTGTCTTCAAGACAAGCCCTACTCCATATTAAGCTTCTTCTGAAGCTGAGGGACTGTGGCGTTAACAGTCCGAGGAGCCTGTCTGTTGAATGGAGAGACTCTGTGAGTCACGCCCATAAAATCCTGAGAGAGCATTTGATCCAGCAGTTCTCTGGGGCTGCACCTTAGAGCTTTCTGCAGATTTAACAGATGATTTAAGTCACCCCCACTGTCTCATCTTTAAACTGTTTTTTTGACTGTCCTGGATTTGGTCTTTGCCTGGAAACCTTTTTTTTTTTTTTTTCTTAGTTTATGTGCTGCTGAAACAAGCACTAGAAACCATTTCTTAATTTTAGCATCATTTGCCATCTGGAGAGGCTGAGGATTTTCAAAAGCAGCAAATCCAGGTTCTTTGCTGTTTCCCAGTTTTTCCCCTCGCATTTCCCACAGCCGCGCCGGGAAGCCAGGCGGCACCTGCAGGTTCTGCCTGGGGTCCCCTGAGCTGAAGTGCTGGTTCAGTGGGAGTCTCACACTCACCAGGTCACCACCAGCAACAGTGTGGCTAAATTTTCCATTTCATACCAAGGATCCCTCTTCTTCCAGTTTCCAGTAACCATTTCCTCACTTTGCTTTAAGCCTCCCCAGCAGTCTCCTCAAAGGCCATCAGGCTTCTGCAAAGTCTCAGGGAACCTAGATATTCCCTTCGAAGTGACTCCCGCCCGCCCCCACCCACTGCTGCATCCCAGGCCACACCCACACTGTTAAGGGGTGGTGATGGCAGCACCCCCTCTTCCAGGTACCAAAATGTGCATTAGTTATTCACTTCTGAGAAACGTTATCCCAAGTCTAGTGGCCTTCAATAGTCATCGCATCTCAAGAGTTCTGGGGAGTGGCTTAGTGGGCACTTCTGGTTCATCTTTCAAGGGCCCCATCATGATGGCAACAGGGGTGCAGGTACCTACAGGCCTGGAGCTGGAGGAACCCCCTTCCAGCCACAGTCCCAGGGCTGTAGGGGCTGACTCTGGGCAGAAGGCCTCAGTCCCTCTCCAGGCAGGCCTCTCCAGAGTGCTGCTTGAGGGCCTTCCTGACATCGTGGCTGACTCACTCCAAAAGAGATTTATCCAAAAGACTAAGGTGAAGTGCTGTGCCTCGGAAATCCCATGCTGTCGCTTCCCTGGGGTAGCCCTGTCCATTGAGGGGGTGGCGGGTGAACAAGTACGCATGTAAACAAGGAGGCCATTGTGGAGTCTGGCTACCCTGGGTAAGTCTCTGAGCCCCTCAAGCTGTAAAGTGAGAACAGCATCAGCTTCCTTAAGGGGTGGTCGTGAAGGTCGAGTGAAGTGGGGCTTCTGAAGGGGTGACCGCGTGGAGCCCTGGTTGACACTGTCTTTGGTCACATCCCCTCAGGCTGCCAGGAAATCGCGGAGGAGTTCCGTGCCCAGGAGATCGACGGGCAAGCTCTGCTGCTGCTCAAGGAGGACCACCTGATGAGCGCTATGAACATCAAGCTGGGGCCCGCCCTCAAGATCTACGCACGCATCAGCATGCTCAAGGACTCCTAGGGCTGGCCGGGCGCCGGGGCTCTTCCTCCCGACCGAGCAGAGCCGGCGGACACTCCTGGGGGCCCAGAGCAGGGCCAGTCGAGGGAAGGGCCCCCGCTGTGGGGCGTGGCTGGGGAGGAGGTCTCGGGACCTCCTTGGTGGCTCTCAGGGGCCTTTCTTTCTGTGGGAGGGGCAGAGAGGTAGGTGGCACAGAAGATGGGGCTTTATGCTTGTAAATATTGATAGCACTGGCTTCCTCCAAAGTCCCACAACTCTAGCCCCGCTTCTCTTCCCCTCTTTCTGTCCCCCATTTTCCAGGGGGTATGTGGTCAGGGCTCCCAACCTGAGTTGGGTCACTTCCCAGGGCAGCCGCCGGGCCTGGAGAGAGGCCGCGGAAGCCCTCACCTGCCTTCCTCCTCCTCTTTCTCGGGGCCCAGCTCGCTCTTCCATTGCCAGCTTCTCCCACTTCAGCTGTTACTGAAGCCGCCAGAAGGGTTCTCCCCCCTCACCCCTGCAGGTGGAGGGAGAGAAGCTGGGCCCGGTTTGGCCACACCTGCTGGTACAGACGCCTTAACGCTGTGTGTGTGACTGTGTGACTGTGTGGGAGCCTGGACTGACTGACGGGCCGAGAGCCCCCCGCCCCTGGCATCTCCAGGTGTTTTGTAGCAAACAGCCACTTAGTGCTTTGTCCTGGACTCCACTCAGCCTCGGGATGGGGAATGGGAAAAAGGGCCGCCTCGGTGCAGAGGCAGGGTCAGAAAGCGATGCAGGTTAGCAGGAGATTTTCCTTTCCAGATTGTCGTGGTGTCTCTGCAGCCCCTTCCTGCACTGTGACGCCCCCCGCCCCAGCTGCCCTGCTGCGTCACAGACGGCATTAAGGAAGCTGCCAGTGGGCTGGGCCAGGCCGAACCTCCTGGTCTTGCCTGTCCGCCCACCCCTGAGAGCCCAGTGGTGGGGCCCAGAGAACATCCAGGGCGGAAGAGCTGGAGTGACCACTGAGGTGAAGAGGGCAGCCTTCAGCCTCGGCTCCCACACTTCTGGAACTTGCTGGCAGCAGTGTGAGCTGCCCATGGAGGAGGCGGGGCAGGAAGGGTGAGGCCGGCCTCTGACCTGCCCTGCATGCTGCAGGCTCCTGGGGAAGAGTTGGACTCTTCCCCAGGGGAGGGTGGGTGCCCTTCTCAGTTCATTCTATTCCCCACTCACACCCCCAGGCAGGGTTGGAAATGAAGGACTTTTTTAACCTTTTTTGTTTTTTAAAAATAAATCCATAAAATCCATTCCTTCTGTGCCTTTCTCGCCTGGGGCTGCCTTTCTGTGATCCTGAAGAGCTACTTTTCACCTGCAAGGAGAGGGTGGGACCCTGGGCTGGGAGAGGGACGGCCACCTGAACCGGAGGACACATCCGCCAGGCTCTGCCGCGTCATTTGAGGGCACACTTAGCCCCGGCTCAGATCCCACCTGTTCTTCACGGGTGTCCCTTGGGAGTGCACGGGTCCAGGGCCCCTTCAACTCTGAGCCTCCCCGACCCGGCACTGCCACTGGAGAGACAGGACGCTGTTCGCCAGGAATACCTGGCACACGGGAGGCAGAGCCCAGAGCTCCCCACCCTCACACTCGCACCTGTGGTGGGTGCGGCTCCGTGTCCAGCACCGCCCTTGGGGTAACTCTGCCTCACTCGACAGCTGAGCATTCTTTGGATGCTGGAATAGCCAACTATTAGAAGAGTCTCTGCCTCAGGAGGCGATTGCCTAAGCCTCAAATAAAGAAGGGGCCTCCCAAGCACAGGCCACTTATGCACTCAGTCTGTAACAGGGCCCCAGGGAGATTGATTAGCAGGGAACTTTTAAGAGCCAATACCCACATCTTGATGACAACTCTCCGGAAAACCTTTAAGTTGTAACTGCTTCCTGGAGGAAGAGGAGAAACAAACAACTGACTAGTTGACCACCCACAGGATGGAGCTAGCACTTGGGAAGTCTGGTGTCCCAGAAGGTCGGGAATGGCTAGCAGGACAGGGGCCAGCATGGGACCTGGGCTGAGAGGGAGTGGGGAGGGTCCCCCAGGAAGACCTCCATGTTGCCCAACCCACTCCAGGGCAGGGGAGCAGGCCACTGTGGCCTCTGCAGCTTGGCGAGCCCACGCTGGACCTTGACTTTTGCTTTCTGGAGGACAAAGCCAGGCCCAGCCCGAGTCTGTCCTTGTATGTCAGGTGGGAGAGGGAGCCGAAACTCCCAAAAGAGGGTATGGTAGATCTGCAGGGCTGACACAGGTAAACACCCCTGCTGTCTCTTCACTCTGAGTGGAAGGCCTCAGTCTGAAGGGTGCTTCCTTCAACATATATTCGCTCCTGATCATGCCTTACACAGAATTTTGCAAAACTTGTGATTGTTACTGAAAGTTTGTTCTCCACCCTCACGTATGTACTGAGATGTATGTAACTGAAGCAGAACAGAATAATACCTAATTTTCTGATAATTTTCAGTTCATGTTCATAATTTTAAAATCTTGGTCATAATCTATGAGATTGATTTCTGATGAGTCGTATTCTGCACTTGAAAAAAAAAAAAAACTGCCTGGTGTAAACCTTTCCAGAACCTTTCCATCTCAGTCTTGTGTTGCTCTTACCCTATCCTGGCTGACTGGTATGCACACCCTGTTTTACTAAAGAGGCCAAGGACTCCTGGAGGTGAACTATGCAGAGTCACAAATCAGGTACCCTTGAGTTGTGGCTGAAACTCTGCAGAACCGTGTTCTCGCTGGGTGGCAAATACAACAGAGGACCTGAAGTGGGGAGCACGAGGACCCGCCGCCCCCAGGGGAGGAAAAAGCGTCGGGACAGCATGGCTCAGTGCCTCTGGCCAACCAGAGGCACCGTACTCAGATCCACCCTCTTCCAGGTGATTGGCCCCAGGGTGGGGGGTCCTCCTGGCAGTTCATCCCACTTGGTCCTGGGGGTGTGGTTTCTGACACATGGCCTGGAACGGCTTTGTCCCAGTCACCAGGTCATTTCTTCCCTGGCTCTCGGCTGAGGTGGCTCTTGGAAGGCTGTCCCATTGCTCCTTGACATGGCTTTCAGGGAAGGATCCAGGTGAGTGGGGACACTGCCAATGTCTGGGGAAAGATGGGGCATGACAACTGTCCTGAGAGAGTCCAGTCTGGTGGCCAGAACAGTCGAGGAGGCACCAAGGCTGGCCCGCTGAGAACGAGCTGAGCCATAGAGGTCCTTGGGGGAAAGTGGCTGGAGGGACATAGTCATGGGGTACAGACGGGCCAGGGCATGAACGGGGCGGTGGGGGAAGACAGCATCCTGGGAGATCTTGTAGCCTGTGAAGTGTATGGTGACTCTCCTGCTGCCCTTAACTCTGACCCCATGGTGAACAGAGAACAGACGTTGGGGTGCACCTTCCACTGAAACAGAGCTCTCTATTCCCACTGGGAGTGACCATCCAGGTCTGCAAACTTACTCCCACTTAGGAACTAATTACTGATCTTTAACCACCTCCTGAAAGTGAGGAGGGTCCAGGAGCCCGTGTGAGGCGGCCTTGAGAGATGGCCTCCTGCAGGTGGGAGCTGGGTGGGGTGGGGTGGGGTCCTTTTAAAATTGTCTGAGCAAGGAACTGGGAACAGTGGGTCAGGAAGATGCCTCTGTGGACTAGGGTTCCCAAGCTGGGACATAGGAGGAGGGGCTGGCAGGACCTGGTGGGTGCCTGTGGAAGGCCTAGGTGTCAGAACCCTCCCAGGACTGATGGGTAAAGCCCACCTGGACCACTTGGGGATGGCTCTGCCTGGCTGCCCTGGATGGAGGGACTGGCTTAAGAGCATGGGATGGCAGAGAAGGCTCTGCTCCAGCATTTCCTGCCCTTGCCACCCACCTCATGGTGTCCCTCCAGGGGGCAGTCTCATTTCCAAGAGCAACTGTAAAATAGCTCAATAATGTTTATATCAATTGCATATTGAAATGATATATTGTATTAAATTATTAAAACTTCAGTTCTTTCCACTCTCTTAACATGGCTACTATTAATAGAAAATTTTAATTAACACTCCTGGCTCACACTATATTTCTATTGGGTAGTGCTGTTCCAGATTTTCTCCTATGTTTTCATAAAAGAACACAGATGTACACATCTGGGTACATTTTATAAAAGAACACATGCACAGGTGCATATGCACAGGATCCTTCCCCTCACAGAAGTGAGGTCAGCCTCTATGCACAGTTCTGTTGCTTCCTCTTCCACTGAGTCCCTTAGGCCCTCTTTTCCAGAGAGCACGTATCCACCAACCTCATCCTTTTCAATGTCTAGGCTGCTCTCCATTACATGGGGATGCATTACTCATTCATCCACCTCTCCACAGACCAACACTGGGGTGGTTTATCTCCATCTGCTTTTTCCAGCAATGCTAGGAGAACCACCTTGGCCTGCCGGCTGTGAAGTCTCATTTCTAGAAGGGGAAAGCTGGGTCTGGTGTGAGTGTGTGAAATGATTCTGTAGGCTCTGTAGGCAGAACTGAGAGAGGTGGACTTCACCCTGCAGTCACTAGAAAGGCTTAAAACCGCTTGCTCTTTCTAAATGGCTCTGTGTTTTTCCTTCATTAAAAAAAGCAATAAAAGCATATTAGAGACAAGTGGGAGGAAAAATAAAGGAAAAAACCCTCCCATAACCTATTACACAGATACTTCCTTTCAGTCTTCTGCTGCATGTTCTCATTGCTAGACCCGTAATCAGAGCTATCAAGTTTAGGTCTTGCTTTTTCCATTGAAGGTTTTTGTGTAAGACTTTTCCATGTGACTACAGAACCTTCACAAAAAGTTTACTTAGCTGGACACTGGGGCCTTTCCCAGTTGTATCTGAGTGGCCCGCACAATGCCTTCTCCACGGGTGCTCTCCAGCTCTTGTTCAACCAAGCTCAAGTCTTCCTGTGTAAAAGAAACACACACGCCTCCATCAGTCCCAATCCCTCAACCTCTTCAGTTACCATCCTTTCTCTCTCCTTTTACAGTCAAACTTCTGGGGAGAGCCACCTGCCTCCACCTCCATTTCCTCCTCCGCTCACTCAGCGCCCCTGCCCGTCCCCAACCGTGTCCTTGGTGCTGGGCCCTGGCTCTCCTCCCTCTGCTCTCTCCAACTTCCACAGCATCCTTGCCCTCCTGGGGAGTCCCAGAACTCTCTCCTTAGACTGCCTACCTGCCTTCTGGGCTCCGGCTCCTTAACCCCAACCAGACTGCTGCTGCTGCTAAGTCGCCTCAGCCGTGTCAGACTCTGTGCGACCCCATAGACGGCAGCCCACTAGGCTCCTCTGTCCCTGGGATTCTCCAGGCAAGAACACTGGAGTGGGTTGCCATTTCCTTCTCCAGTGCATGAAAGTGAAAAGTGAAAGTGAAGTCACTCAGCCGTGTCAGACTCTGTGCGACCCCACAGACGGCAGCCCACCAGGCTCCCCCATCCCTGGGATTCTCCAGGCAGGAACACTGGAGTGGGTTGCCATTTCCTTCTCCAGTGCATGAAAGTGAAAAGTGAAAGTGAAGTCACTCAGCCGTGTCAGACTCTGTGCGACCCCATAGACGGCAGCCCACTAGGCTCCTCTGTCCCTGGGATTCTCCAGGCAGGAACACTGGAGTGGGTTGCCATTTCCTTCTCCAACGCATGAAAGTGAAAAGTGAAAGTGAAGTCGCTCAGTCATGCCCGACTCCTAGTGACCCCATGGACCGCAGCCTACCAGGCTCCTCCATTCATGGGATTTTCCAGGCAAGAGTACTGGAGTGGGGTGGCACTGCCTTCTCCCCCAACCAGACTAGTAGCCTTCATCGCCTTTCCTGGTCCCCCAGTCCTGCCCACCATACCTCGACAGCCATTCATCACCTCCTCCTCCCCAACCCACTGACAACACTGACTTGTCTTCCTGCCTCCAGGCATGCCCACTGCCTCCCACTCCATGTCCAGGCTGGAGTACTTTTCAAATAAAAATCTGGCTGCATCACTCCTTGAAGGGAAGGCCTGAAAAGGGCTCCCCAGGGCCTCAAGACAAAGTCCAAACCCCTTAGCCTAGAATGTGGGTCCTGGTTGATCTGGTTCCAGCTTATCCCCAGCCTCACCTCTCATCACTCCCCATCCACACTCCACCCACCCCTGCGGAGGACCTACAGTTCCACCTACTTTCTAAGCTCTCTCTCACTTCCTCACTTCTACACATCACTGTTCCTTTTTCACGGATCTCCCTTTCCCCTCCACTGCCTTCTTTGCCTGGGTAACTTCCAATCCTTCAGGGACTAGCTTAAAGGGCACCTCCTCCAGAAAGCTTCCCTGACTTCCTCCCCATCTGTCCAGGCTCAGGTGCCATCCACTAGTTTGCCCTTAATGCTATCTTGTATTTACACTAATCACAGCCTTTGCTATGCTGTTCCATTCCTCTCTTTGCCATCTGTCCTCTGACCTTATTCCCCTCTTTCTGGCCATCCACATCTTCCTGACCCCGCTCCTGGAAGACAAGGTCTGTGTCTTGCTCACCTCTGAATCCTTGACCTAGCTCAGTGCTCAGTTCTGAGCTTGTGACCACTAAGCATAGGCTGAATGCATGAATGAGCAGAAACTAGTGAACATCTTGATCCATAAACTTTTCCCATGCTGAAGATGGTCTCCTTTGAACGGGTTCCCAGAAGTTGCAGTGATCGGATTAAAGGGGATGACTGCTGAAAGTTTCAATTCCCACAGCTAAGGAGCTTTCCACAAAAGCTGTGGTGATTTACATCCCACCGGCAGGTGTAAGAGTGCTTATCTCACTGTATTCTCACAGCGTGGCTATTTTCATTTCTTTCTTTTTAAAAAGTGCTCATTTTATAGGCAAAACATCCCGCCTGGTTCTAATCTGTAAGTCTTTGATTACTAGTGAGGGTGAACATCTTTCCATATGTTTGCCTACTGAATGCATTTCCCCTTTGAGGATTTCCCTGTTCATGTGATGTGGACACAGTTAAAGCAGCTGGCATTTTATGAGCTGACTCTGGGGGCTGTTCGGGGGAGGGAGAACTGGGAGCAGGGAGGTCCTGGTGGGGACGAGCAGGCAAGGTCACTGTGGGGGTTGGGGGGATAGGAGCAGCAGAGAAGGGGGAGATCAAGGAGGCAAAGTCAACACACCCCTGAGGACTGGCAGCAGACAGTGGGCAAGGCAGAGGGAGGGGTCGGTGCACCCAGGTTTGGCTAACTCAACAGAACCATGCATCCAACGGAGATGCACGCGTGAATACGCACACACACAACTGCAAGGGGCCTCTCTGATCTGGATACACCTGCTGAGGAACAGTGCCATGGGGCAGCAGGAAAGGCAGGGGCGTGAGGGTCTGATCAGGCTGCCTTCTTGGAAGAGACCAGAGGAGGCAGATTTTGGAAGGACTTTATAGGGCAGGGAGGGGAGCTGGGAGTTTGTGCTGAGAATCCTGAGGGCTTGTTCAGCAACAATAATATGAATGATAATCAACAATAGTTAAAAGTTTATTGAGCTGTTACTGTGTGCAAGGCCTTGTTCTAATCACTGAGCAGGTATGAACTCAGTAGCCACCGCAGCCCTCTAAGGTAGGTATTCTTATGAAGTGCATGTCTAAATGAGGAGACTCAAGTGTAGAGGCCCAGAATCTTGCCCGAGGTCAGAGAGCTAAGAAGTGCCCTGGGATTCAAACTTGGGGGTCTAGCTCCAGTGGCCAGGCTCCTCACCACAGCGGTTCAGTCTGTCTAGAGACACTGGAACCCAGCATGGGTAAGGAGAGCTGGAGGAGACCCCCCTCATCCCCTGCCAAGGATCTTATTAAAATTCTCAACTTTCAGAGCCCTTCTGGAAAACAAGCAACTATGGACAAATCGCAAAGTCCACCTCCTTGGAGCCAGCAATGGGGTTGCTGAGCTCTGCTGGAGGGAACCCACTCCATGACTGGAGCCACCACAAACACAGTCCCCTGACTGCAGCCCGCCCCCCAGGAAGCCCAGCAACTCATCCCTAAGCCCCAGATGCTCTCAACTCCCAGCCACAAGCTTCCCTGCATCCCCTCCCAGACTCTTCCCTGTCCAAGTTCAATCCAACCCAAGCGAAGCACCCTAATGTTACTGTCCCCCAAATCTGCTGCTGGAAAAAAGCGAAAAAATTTACACATCTACATGCTCATCAGAAATGACCTGGTTAGGCAAATGATGCCATCCCAATCAAAGGCACATTAGGCAGCCGGAAAAGAGGGTGAGGAAGCTCTTCAAGAATGCAGATGGACATGATGGTCCATGGAAAATTCAAGGTAGAGAACAGCTTATCCCTGAGTGATCATTTGTGAGGGGAGAGCAGAGGAAAGGATGGAGGGAAGGAAGAAAGAATTTGCTACCATATTTATATTCGCCTGTCTATGCACAGACTAGCCCCTGCAGAGGGGACTGGATGGCTGAGAACAGGAGAGATTGCACTGTCTGCCCTCCTCTGGACCTCGCAGTGTCTGTTAATATGTTCATATTAACATTAAATCACATCATTTTTCATACATAAATGCATATATGTGTGTGTATGTAAAAATATATACATAATGAGTTGTTGATGCCCCTTCCAGCTCAGCTGATAAAGAATCCGCCTGCAATGTAGGAGACCTCTGTTCAATTCCTCGGTCAGGAAGATCGGCTGGCGAAGGGATAGGCTACCCACTCCAGTATTCTTGGGCTTCCTTTGTGGCTCAGCTGCTAAAGAATCCACCCACAATGTGGGAGACCTGGGTTCGATCCCTGGGTTAGAAAGATTCCCTGGAGAAAGGAAAGAGAAAATACTCCCGTATTCTGGCCTGGAGAATTTCATGGACTGTATAGTCCATGGGGTCGCAAAGAGTTGGAGACAACTGAGCAACTTTCACTTTCATTCACTTTTACTCCCCACCTCCAGGGCCTGGAAGAGAATCTTCTGGCAGCTGATCCTACTTGCACTTGGCGGCTTAGGGCTGCTCCGGTTCGGGCTTCCTGTACTCAGGTACAACCCCTTCCCCAGCCCTCGCGATGGGATCAGCAGGGGCAGGGTCCAAGTGGCCCTTTCCGAGTGCCCTCTTGAGGGATGGGGAGTGGCGGCTGTCACGGCTGCACAAGCGTCCTCGGGGGCTCTCCCTCCTTGTAAGAAGCAAAGAGAGAGGGATCCTGAGCAGGCTGGCCCACCCCTCACTACTGCTCCCATCCCACAGGCATCTGGAAGTCCTCATCCCCATGGGTGTCTGCCCTCCGGCCAGAACGCCCCTGCTGAGAGACAACTTTACGGGTCCCCTGCACCCTCGGTAAGAAGCCGCCACCCCTCCCACTCTGAGAACACCCTACACCCTACTGAGCTCTGGCCCAGGGTCCCTGTCCTCCTCGCATCCCCAACCCCAGCAGGGCTAGGCACTCCACTCAGAGTGCCCCTCAGGTAGCACATCTCCCACTACTCTGCTGGATCTGGAATAGAGATTTCTAGGGGCAGGGCCTGGGTGGTCCCGAGGGCCCAGGACTGGGGGGGAGGGGAAGGGTGGCAGTGACCATTCACCAAGCAGGTGAATGCATGAACCTGTCTCTCCCTCCCTGCCCCGGCCAGGGCCCGGCCTGAAGTCCTGACCTGTACTTCCTGGGGGGCCCCCATTATTTGGGACGGCACCTTTGACCCAGACGTGGCCCAGAAAGAGGCTGTACGGCAGAACCTCACCGTAGGTCTGACTGTCTTTGCTGTAGGCAGGTAAGGCCTGGGAGGGAAACGGTGCCATCCTAGCAGGAAGGAGTGGGGGTGCATGTGATGTAGCGAGTGGGGCACCCCATTCTCCTGGGCCATAGGATGCCAAGGAGAAGCAGAGATAGCACCCCTTGTCCCAGAGCCCCATGGCAAGGCCAGACCCCCTTTCTCTTCCTTCCCCTCCTCCCTGGACACTAACACCATGAAGTCCACCCGGCACAGGGAGCCAGGAGCTCGGAATCACAACCTAGAAGGAATCTGCCCAGGGTCTGGGGCAGATCCATCCGGAGGCCTTGGGTTTTCGGTGAGAACATGGTCTTTTCAGGTGACAGGAGATGACAACAATTGGGTGAACAGAGGGGCCGGCCTGGCGGCAGAAGCGCCCATAGTCAGTGGCTCAGGTACAAGCACACAATAAGGAGAAGTGGGGGGGTTGGCCAAGCAATTCTGATGGCAGAGGAGGGACTGGGGAGCTGAGGGCTTTTGCAAGGGAGTGAATCTGGGCTGGGTAAAGAGGGATGTGAAGAAAAGGAGATGCTGAGAATGGCAGCATCAGCAGACCAGAGGACTCTGAGGAAGGGCTGCTGGGGTTGGTATCACAGGACATGGACTGGAAGGATGGGGGCCCCCAGAGTGGGACATGTGAAGGCTGTAACTCTGTGGGGGGGCCCAGACTGATGATGACCAAGTTGAGAGAGAGGCCATGGGGGCAGCTGACTGAGTGGGGAGGGGACAGAATTGGGACAGGAGGCCAATCGAGGACATGAGGGGCCCCCAGGTGTGGAGAAGGAGCCCCGAGTGGTAGGTGGAGAAGAAATCTCAGGGCACTGACCTTTTCATCTCCCCACTGTGGACGGCAGGCTGTCCAAGCTGGTATTCACTTTCCGGTAGTGATGTAGAGTCCTGGCTAAGAGCAGCAATCAGATCCTACAATCTAAAGGCACAGAGAGGTAGAGTTTAAGGCAATTAAAGGGAAAGTTTCTAATAATGGAACGGGCTGCTTTGGGAAGGCAGTGAGAGCTTTGCATCCAGAAAAAGATATCCAAAAGACTGGGGAAGGAATTCTGTCATCAGATACCCCAGACAACTGCTCAAGGTTCCTCCAAATCTGTCCCCCACACTCTGGAAGGGAGAGAAAGTCAGGATGGTTCCTCCAAATCTGTCCCCCACACTCTGGAAGGGAGAGAAAGTCAGGATGGTTCCTCCAAATCTGTCCCCCACACTCTGGAAGGGAGAGAAAGTCAGGAGGGCCCCTGGAAGGCCAGGGAGCAAACAGGACAAGGGCTGACCAGGGAGCCAGGCGGGCAGAACTGTGGCCTCTCCAGGACCTTACTGCCCCCACTTCTGTTCTGGATGCTGAGTAAGGAGTTTCTCCACCAGCCTTCATAGCTCAGTTGGTAAAGAATCCACCTGCAATGCAGGAGACCCTGGGTCAGGAAATCTGCTGGAGAAGGGATAGGCTACCCACTCCAGTATTCTTGGGTTTCCCTTGTGGCTCAGGTGGTAAAGAATCTGTCTGCAGTGCGGGAGACCTGGGTTCAATTCCTGGGTTGGGAAGATCCCCTGGAGAAGGGAAAGGCTATCCACTCCAGTATTCTGGCCTAGAGAATTCCATGGACTGTATAGCCTATGCGGTCAGCAAGAGCTGGACACAACTGGAGGGATTTTCACTTTCACTTTCCACCAGCCTTAGGGACCCAAAGTCTCTGGGACCAGAAATTTCAGGGTCCTAAGTTCCAAGGTTCTACAAACCTAACGTAGGACGCTGAGGCTTCTAAGGTCTCTAATTCCAGCTTCTCCTGGTTCCACCCAGAATAGAGCAAGTACAGGTAAGGATACAGGCTCTAATGCCAGGCTGGGTTCAAATCCTGGTTTCACACTTACCAATTGTGTGTACACTTGGACAAGTTAATAAAGCTCTTTGTGACTCAGTTTCCTCACCTGAGATGGAGATAATAAGGGTGAAGATTAAATGAGATAATGCACATTACTTTAAAAACTGTCTGCCACATGATTAATGTTCCAAAATATCAGGCATTATTACTATTATTTTAGGACCCCAGGATTCCAAAGTATGTTTATAGGAAGTTAACTAGTATTGCAAACATCCCAGTTACCTAGGTTTGTGGTTTGTCACCACAAACTCAGTGACAGAAAACAACTCATTATTACCATTGTTCACGGTCTTGTGGCTCAGGAATTCCGACAGGGCTCAGCTGCTGGGGCCCCTCCCTGCTCCCAAACGTGTAGGTCCCCACCGGGACATTAGCCTGCGGAAAACTGGAGGGCGCTTTTCTCCGTGGCTAGCTCAGCCTCTCTCACTTCGTGGCAGCCTCAGAGTGCTTAAGCAAAGGGCCAGAGCTCTAAAGAGACAAAGGCTAACGGGCCAGTCCTCCCAAGGACCAGCACAGCATCCCTGCCTTGGGATTCTACGGACCTAGGCGGTCAGGAAGCGCCGCGTTCAAGGGCAGGGACACAGAGCCCATGGGGTCAGGGATGGCGAACAATGGCAATAATTCGCTTCGGACGACTCTGGGGCTGAATAGTTCTGGAGTTCCAGGGCCTGGGGTGGCAGGGTCCCAGGAAGGACATGGGGAGAGCTGGTCAGCCCGACGACTCCGCGGACTCCGGGGGGGGCGGGGGGGCGCAGCGGCCGGGCTGACTTGGGCCGGCCCCGCCCCTCCCGGCAGGTATCTGGAGAAGTACCTGGAGCGCTTCCTGGAGACAGCCGAGCAGCATTTCATGGTGGGCCAGCACGTGGTGTATTACGTGTTCACCGAGCGTCCGGCCGCGGTGCCCAGCCTGCCGCTGGGCCCCGGCCGCCGGCTGCGCGTGGAGCGCGTGGCGCGCGAGCGCCGCTGGCAGGACGTGTCCATGGCGCGCATGCGCGCGCTGCACGCGGCGCTGGGCGGCCGCCTGGGCCGCGAGGCGCGCTTCGTGCTCTGCATGGACGTGGACCAGCACTTCAGCGGCGCCTTCGGGCCCGAGGCGCTGGCCGAGTCGGTGGCGCAGCTGCATGCCTGGCACTACCGCTGGCCCCGGCGGCTGCTGCCCTTTGAGCGCGATGCGCGCTCGGCCGCCGCGCTGGGCCCCGGCGAGGGCGACTTCTACTACCACGCGGCCGTGTTCGGGGGCAGCGTGGCAGCGCTGCGGCGGCTCACGGCGCACTGCGCGCGGGGCCTGCGGCGGGACCGCGCGCGGGGCCTGGAGGCGCGCTGGCACGACGAGAGCCACCTCAACAAGTTCTTCTGGCTGCACAAGCCCGCCAAGCTGCTATCACCAGAGTTCTGCTGGAGCCCCGACATAGGCCGCCGGGCGGAGATCCGCCGGCCACGCCTGCTCTGGGAGCCCAAAGAGTATGCCTTGCTGCGTGGCTAGAGGTGCCCTGGGCCCCGGAGGTCCCAGACGCCGGTGGGGCCCCTTCTGGAAGTGGCGTGGCGCTGGAGGGGCCGGAAAGACTGCATGAAAACCTACCTGGCTGTGGGGATGTGGGGCGAGGGGCTGGAGTAGGCCCGGCCTTGGGGGAGCACCTCACCAAGGCGGGCGGTCCCAGGCACCACCAGCTGCCTGGAAACCTTTCACTTCTGACCTTACTGAGTTCAGCGGAGGCCCCACCCCCGAAGAGATGTCTTAGCCCCTTCCTCATACCCCCCACTAAAAAAAAAAGGTGGGACTGAAGCCCAAAAAAGGAACGTAACTGTCTAAGGACCCAGAGCATCTGTGAGTCAGCCAGTGAGGTCAGCAGCTGGAGAGCCAGGACGGGCCCGCAGGCCAAATAGAGCTGCCGCTGGGCTGGAGCCCCAGATGGAGAAACACAGTGGCATCCGGTTCACCTCCCCCACCCTCCGCACGGTTTGTACATATTTAAGCAATACGATAATAAAATACATTATTCCACAGTGTCCTTGTGGCCCTTTCTCCTGGAGAATCCAAATTCATAAAAATAACATTTCCTCCCCGTGGGACCCCAACGGCTGTTCAGCCACAGTGTCTGGGAGATAAGTTTCCTTATCCGTGGCTGCTGTCCAGACTCTTCATCCTCAATAGAGAAAGACACAGGTTCCGAATGGGAGCATGAAGTCATCAGGCCCTCCAGGAAAGGTGGTTCCCTCCGGGAAATAGCTGCAGAGCTGGGGAAGTTATCTGCTGGAAGTCCCGGAGATATTGTCTTAACAGCTGAAAACTAGAGGCCCGGAGAGGGTGGGATTTCCCTCCTGGTCTCCTGAACCGTTTCTGTAGTGTTCTCTTAGACCTTCAATTTTTAACAGCCTCCGCTGTTTTCAGGTGGGACAACAGTTCGGTAAGCCAACTCTGATGGCTTCGACACACTAACCATTTTTTCAAACCATTTTTAGGAACATTTTATCAACACAGATGATGATGATTTCCCCTCTCCAAAGCAGTTCCTAGGTCCCAGTGTCTCCTGCCTAAACTAGATGAGCAGAACCCAGGAGGCCTTTTGGACTCTGGATTAGAGCTAAGAACAGGCCAGGTATGCCCAAGAACAGGTTATTACTTGACTACAAGTTGACATCCTTCCTCTGGTGGGAGACTGTCCACCTTACCCTGCAGCATTCACTAAAAGCCACACAGACCAACTCTTCGGCCAGCAAAGACCTGAGGTTGGGCCAGCAAGATCTGGTTAGGAATCAACTCCTCTTCTGACTCTGCGCATGGCTGTGGACTAGTTCCTTAACCTTTGCTGAGTCTGTTTTCTCATATGTAAAGTGGGGGTGCCATCACCCTCGCTGCAGGTGTTGTGACGCCCCAAAAATAATCTGCCTTCTCCCTCTCCCTGCCTGCTGCTTCTCCAGCAAGTTCATGGAGTGCAGAGGAGTCAGCAGAGGAGAACCATTTCCTGTTTTAAAGAGGAAGTGATGGCAGGAGTCAGGGGTTTTCTGGAGCTGGGCTGAGCAGCCTCCTGCGGTGGGTTGAGACCTTCCTGAGGAGGGGGAGGGGCCAAGGAAGCTGCAGGGGAACAGAGTGGATGATCACCTGGGAACAGAGTGGATGATCACTTGGGAACAGGTCGTCCTTTGTCCCAGAGGCCCACCATGGGGGTGGGGCTGTACAGGCAGGAATAAGCTCCTTCTGCAGCTCCTTCATCAGTATCCCTGTCAATCAACACTATCCACATCCTGCAACCCTCAAGGACCCAATAAGCTCCTGAGAGCTTCCAGGTGAGCCAGCGAAAATTAGACTCCCAGTCCCCCAGTGTCACTGCTACATGCAAAATCTTCATCTGTCCAGCCATCCCTAGTGCCATGCCAGCTCAGATGTCATCTCCCCAAATTCCCAAACATCATCAGCCCTCTAATCAGAGTTCACTGATCATAAAGGACATAGATTCATCAAGGCTACATCAAATAATAACAACAATTACATTTATTAGGTGCTTACTGTGTGCCAGGCACAGTTCTAAGCCTTAGAAATCTGTTGATTCATTCAATCCTCATATCCATCCTATAAATTGATTACTATTATTTTCCTCATATTACCCATGAGAAAATCGGGCACAGAGAGGTTAACTAACTTACCTGCTGCTACACCATTAGCAACATATAAATACTGAATAAATTCACTGATGTGAGAGCAAGCAGGAATTAGAGCTAGCCAAAAGATGGAGACAAAGTCGGGGGCTGAGGTGGCCACTGGCCCTCGGTCTCTTCTGTCCGTCTCTGCTTCTCTCTGCCTCCTTTGTCCTGCTTGTCTTGGGCACAATACAGCGCACCCCAACCCCACCCCACCCCTGCCCACACAGGATTTTCCATATCAGGTGCCCACCATCTCCTAAGTTGTCCCTAACTCACCAAATGGAGATTTCTGATTGGAGAGTCAGGCAGTGGTGTGCTGGTCAACGTTGAGCAAATGACTCTTGGAGGAAAACAAAAGGGCAACCCGAATGAGGATTTACCGGCTTACGTAATAAGACAGTGCTGGGGTTGGGCCAGCTTCAGGGCTCCGTGATGTGTCTCCAGCTCTCCTCTTGGCTTTGTTTGGAGTCAGCTTCATCCTGGGACTCCTGCAGCAGCAGCACCAGCAGCTCCAGTTTCACAGCCTCCAGCTATCCCAGTGACTGAGGGGACCAAGAAGGCCCCTTCACACACAGCTTCCCCATGGAGGGGGGTGTCAATGTTTTGATTGCCTAGGAGGGAAATGCAGGAATTCCCCCAAAGCTTAGCAAGGCTGGCCCTGGGAGACAGAAAGTGACTCAACCATGAGTCACCATCAGGGACTGCACTCCTCTGAGCCCTCGTGGTTCTGGGCTGCAAGTGATGGACAGGAGAAAGGCCATTTCCCTTCCTTCCCAATTTGGGGAGGGGGGCCGCGGGGGAGGGGAGAGGAGCGTGGAAAGGTGCCCCCCGGCCCCGCCCTCGCACAGAGCACGCCACACACCGCTGCCACCCGGCTGCAGGTACAGTTTATTCTTCACAACAGAGAAATACAAAGAGCAGAGGGTTTGGGATTCCTTTGTTTCTTGCCCCCTTTAGGGTCTTCCCCCACATTTGACCTTTTTCTCCTCCCCACCCCTTTTCTTAAATAGAACGCAAACTTTGTTCCTGAAGCGCAGTGGGGGGAGCACCTGCCCTCACCTCCCTGCCACCACGATGCAGACTGAGAAGCCAACAGACTGTTTTCTCTTTTTTAATAAGGTAACTAGTTCTAAATACGGTGGCCTGGAGGTCCCATAGAAAAAAGCAAAGGGTGTTAACAGTATGTATAACAGCGTATTTACAGGGTAGTAACATGCGGACGAAAAGCTACAATACTGAGTATCAGACAACGCAAGTCAAACAAAGGGGTGGGGGCGGGGCGGAGAACCCCGTGGGAAAAGAAACCCCGGGAGACGTTAAACTGGTAAATCAATGGCGAGTTAAGGCTTAAAAAGTGTATAAAAATAACACAGTTAATATTCAAAACGGAACTCCAGATACAGAATATATAGATGAGTTTCTGTCTAGTTTTCTTTTTTTCCCCAGGGGATGTAGAGGGGCTTCTCCGGGCTCTGTACATAGTTCCTATATACACGGACACGCATGGCTTTCAGATTGGGGTGTGTCTGTGGGGGCTGAGGGCAGGGTCTGCTCCTGGGACCCTCCTGCCCGAGGATCCCTTCCCTGCCGAGGGGCCTAGGGCCTGGGCTGGGGATCCCCCTCCATGGCAGGGAAGACAAGTAACCCCTCCTTGGGCACTGCCCTAACCGGAGGAAATTCTGCAGAGCGGAGGGGGTCCTTGCCCCAGGCCCACTCCCTCCCCCGCTGCCCACAGTCTGGGATGGTGGGAGAGGTAGCCGATAGGTTTCCTGGCCAGCACTGAGGTAGACTGGGGTGGTCTTCAGGGCAGTGGGGGCACCGGGTCTTACCCAGCCCGCCCCCACCCCATTTCCCTGGGCCTGTGCCCAGCCCAGCCAACCCTGCGCCCTTTGGTCCTGTGGACCTCCCGGCCCCTCTCCATCTGTCTCCTGAAGCCTGGGCAGCCCTGGTAGCTGCCACGTCCCGCTGCTCAGTGATGCCCAGGGCGCAGCTCTGGAGGCTCGAGCTGGGGGGCGGGGGGGTGAGCGGCTCACTCCAGCTGCCCCCTGCCCCTCCCACCGGGGAGCCCCCTCTGCGGTCCAGACTCCCAGGCCTGTGCCTTCCCCTCAAGACCCGAGGCTGTGGCAAGAGAAGGTCCCACGCTGCCCTCTGGGTCTCTGTGTCCATCTGTCCGGTTCTTTTCATTTCTCGGTCTTAGCAGCACCAACTTCTTGGCCAATAAATATCTTTTTTTGTTATTTTCCAAAAGAAACTTAAAAAAAAACAAAACAAAACAAAAAACAGTGAAGCAAGTGAAGGATGGGGGAAGAAAAGGAAAACCCAGCGGAGAGGTTCAAAGTGCTCTGAGATCGTCTTTGGATGCCACCGAAACAGTCCAGAATCTTGCAGTTGGCCTGGCCGCCCCCGGAGCTGGACCGGGCAGGGCTTCTGCGGCCCAGGCTTTCTGGAAGGTCAGGAAGGTCATGAGAGCTCGGCTGTTCCTGGAGGGCCCCTGGAGGGAGTCGGGCCGGTGCTGCCTGGGTCTGTGTCTGCCAGTGGGCAGGGCGGGGCGGCGCCTTGGGTCGGCTCAGATGAGGGAAATTCGCACCGGGATGCTGGGGGACTCCGTCCTCTGGGGCGAGTGATGGCTCACCAGGTGCTCCACCACCGTGTGTTTGGACATGTGCTTCATCAGGTAGGTCTCCTGCGGGCAGAGGGCGAGATTCAGAACTTAGAACCAGCTGCTGGCAAGGGCGCAGGCGGAGCTGCAGTTCCTATAAGCGGCCACTGGAGGGCTCCTGGGTAGATGAGCCGGCTAGAGGTGGACAGCCACAGCTTCGGGGGGGCCAGACCGGCATCAGTATTGGTTGGAGGGATACTGCATTTCTGCCAGTGGTGGGGGCTGGCTCATTTACCAGAGTCAGAGCCCGCTGTGTGCTGACTAGAGAGCAGGCAGACATCAGGCTCGTCCCTCAGCAGTGGCCACCTGGAACTCTCTAGGACCAGGCCATTAACCAACCGGCTACAGTGGAGTCCTGTCCGCTGGAGCACAACTGCCCCCATCTGGCTGGTGCTGCCAGTGAGGGTGGAGCAGTAGGCCTCGGGTGACCCTGGCTCTGCCGTTCCTCAGCAGTGGAACGTTGGACCAGTCATCTCACCTCTCCAAGCCTCAGTTTCCTCCTCTGCATGCGGGGATGGGGAAGGAAGGACTTCACAGGGTAGCTATGGTGATGAGGGTAAAGCTCTTAGCAAGCAGTAGGGCCGAGGGGACCACTGCTTCCCTAGTCTCTATATTTCATTCTAGGTGGTGATGGGAGCCCCAGCAGAAGCATCCCCAAGCTCTACCCTCCCTTGGGAAGAATTGGGGCCTGATCTGACTGGTGACTTTAGAAGCATAAACTGGGCATGCTCGGTTCATCCTTTGAGCACTGCCCCAGCCTCGGCTGAGTTTGACATGAGGCACCCAAGACTGGGTGGGTGAGGTGACCCAAGGCTCACCTGCAGACCCACAGACCCTCACACTAAGCTGCCAAGTGGTGCTCTGGTTTCCATCTGCCACTTCTTGGCTTCCTACCTCAGTCTGCTCAACATTGGGCAGAGGAAGCCCTCAAATGTGGTGACAAAGTGCTATCAAACACCATCAAAGGGAAGCAATCAGCAAAATCCACTCAAGGAGACTATGCTTCAATGAGTAAGTTGCAAAGAAGGGGCAGTGGGATCGGGGTGGGGGCAAGGAAGAATAGTTTAAAAGCTATACTGACCCAGTACAATGTAAGAATTTTATTTGGATCTTGATTAAAAAATATAATTTATAAATAAATAAAATTATAAATTATGCCATCCATGAGACAAATGAAAGTGTAACTACCAACTGGGTATTTGATGATATTAAGGAATGTGGTCCACTGGTGAAGGGAATGGCAAACCACTTCAGTATTCTTGCCTTGAGAACCCCATGAACAGTATGAAAAGGCAAAATGTGATCGGGAAGGGGAACACATGCAAATCAATGGCTGATTCATGTCAATGTATGGCAAAAACCACTACAATATTGTAAAGTAATTAGCCTCCAACTAATAAAAATAAATGAAAAAAAAAAAAGAAAGAAAAGGCAAAATGACTGGACACTGAAAGATGAACTCCCCAGTTGGTAGGTGCCCAATATGCTACTGGAGACCAGTGGAAAAATAACTCCAGAAAGAATGAAGGGATGGAGCCAAAGCAAAAACAATACCCAGTCGTAGATGTGACTGGTGATAGAAGCAAGGTCCAATACTGTAAAGAGCAATATTGCATAGGAACCTGGAATGTTAGGTCCAAGAATCAAGGCAAATTGGAGTGGTCAAACAGGAGATGGCAAGAGTGAATGTCAACATTCTAGGAATCAGCGAACTAAAATGGACTGGAATGGGTGGATTTAACTCAGATGGCCATTATATCTACTACTGTGGGCAGGAATCCCTTAGAAGAAATGGAGTAGCCATCATGGTCAACAAAAGAGTCTGAAATGCAGTACCGGGATGCAGTCTCAAAAATGACAGAATGATCTCTGTTTGTTTCCAAGGCAAACCATTCAATATCATGGTAATCCAAGCCTATGACCCAACCAGTAATGCTGAAGAAGCTGAAGTTGAACGGTTCTATGAAGACCTACAAGACCTTTTAGAACTAACACCCAAAAAAGATGCCCTTTTCATTATAGGGGACTGGAATGCAAAAGTAGGAAGTCAAGAAACACCTGGAGTAACAGGCAAATTTGGCCTTGGAGTACGGAATAAAGCAGGGCAAAGGCTAAGAGAGTTCTGCCAAGAGAACGCACTGGTCATAGCAAACACCCTCTTCCAACAACACAAGAGAAGACTCTACACATGGACATCACCTGATGGTCAACATTGAAATCAGATTGATTATATTCTTTGCAGCCAAAGATGGAGAAGCTCTATACAGTCAGCAAAAACAAGACCGGGAGCTGACTGTGGCTCAGATCATGAATTCCTTATTGCCAAATTCAAACTTAAGTTGAAGAAAGTAGGGAAAACCACTAGACCATTCAGGTATGACCTAAATCAAATCCCTTATGACTATACAGTGGAAGTGAGAAATAGATTTAAGGGACTAGATCTGATAGACAGAGTGCCTGATGAACTATGGACGGAGGTTCGTGACATTGTACAGGAGACAGGGATCAAGATCATCCCCATGGAAAAGAAATGCAAAAAGGCAAAATGGTTGTCTGAGGAGGCCTTACTAATAGCTGTGAAAAGAAGAGAAGCAAAAAGCAAAGGAGAAAAGGAAAGATATTCCCAACTGAATGCAGAGTTCCAAAGAATAGCCTTCCTCAGGGATCAATGCAAAGAAACAGAGGAAAACAATTGAATGGGAAAGACCTCTTCAAGAAAATTAGATACCAACATTTCATGCAAAGATGGGCACCATAAAGGACAGAAATGGTATGGTATGGACCTAACAGAAGCAGAAGATATTAAGAAGAGGTGGCAAGAATACACAGAAGAACTATACAAAAAAGATCTTCATGACCCAGATAATCATGATGGTGTGATCACTCACCTAGAGCCAGACATCCTGGAATGTGAAGTCAAGTGAGCCTTAGAAAGCATCACTATGAACAAAGCTAGTGGAGGTGATGGAATTCCAGTTGAACTATTTCAAATCCTGAAAGATGATGCGTGAAAGTGCTGTACTCAATATGCCAGCAAATTTGGAAAACTTAGCAGTGGCCACAGGACTGGAAAAGGTCAGTTTTCATTCCAATCCCAAAGTAAGGCAATGCCAAAGAATGCTCAAACTACTACACGATTGCACTCATCTCACACGCTAGCAAAGTAATGCTCAAAATTCTCCAAGCCAGGCTTCAGCAATACGTGAACCGTGAACTTCCAGATGTTCAAGCTGGTTTTAGAAAACGCAGAGGAACCAGAGATCAAATTGCCAACATCTGCTGGATCATTGAAAAAGCAAGAGAGTTCCAGAAAAACATCTATTTCTGCTTTATTGACTATGTGAAAGCCTTTGACTGTGTGGATCACAATAAACTGTGGAAAATTCTGAAAGAGATGGGAATACCAGACCACCTGACCTGCCTCCTGAGAAATCTGTATGCAGGTCAGGAAGCAACAGTTAGAACTGGACATGGAACAACAGACTGGTTCCAAATAGGAAAAGGAATACATCAAGGCTGTATATTGTCACCCTGCTTATTTAACTTATATGCAGAGTACATCATGAGAAACGCTGGGCTGGAAGAAGCACAAGCTGGAATCAAGATTGCCTGGAGAAATATCAATAACCTCAGATATGCAGATGACACTACCCTTATGGCAGAAAGTGAAGAGGAACTAAAAAGTCTCTTGATGAAAGTGAAAGAGGAGAGTGAAAAAGTTGGCTTCAAGCTCAACATTCAGAAAACTAAAATCATGGCATCTGGTCCCATCACTTCATGGGAAACAGATGGGCAAACAGTGGAAAGAGTGTCAGACTTTACTTTTTGGGCTCCAAAATCACTGCAGATGGTGACTGCAGCCATGAAATTGGAAGACGCTTACTCCTTGGAAGGAAGGTTATGATCAACATAGATAGCATACTAAAAAGCAGAGACATTACTTTGCCAACAAAGGTCCATCTAGTCAAGGCTATGGTTTTTCCAGGGGTCATGTATGGATATTAGAATTGGACTGTGAAGAAAGCTGAGCACAGGAGAATTGATGCTTTTGAACTGTGGTGTTGCAGAAGACTCTTAGAGTCCCTTGGACTGCAAGGAGATCCAACCAGTCCAACCTAAAGGAGATCAGTCCTGGGTGTTCATTGGAAAGACTGATGCTGAAGCTAAAACTCCAATACTTTGGCCACTGCATGTGAAGAGTTGACTCATTGGAAAAGACCCTGATGCTGGGAGGGACTGGGGGCAGGAGAAGGTGATGACAAGAGGATGAGATGGCTGGATGGCATCACCGACTCGATGGACATGAGTTTGAGTAAACTCCGGGAGTTGGTAATGGACAGGGAGGCCTGGCGTGCTGCGGTTCATGGGGTCACAAAGAGTCGGACATGACTGAGCGACTGAACTAACTAACTAAGGACTATGGTGAATCATTTTAAGCTATTATAAAGGTATTGTGGATAAGTTTTTTAAAAAAGAGTGTGTTTAAAGACACAAAGTGAAAATTTTCAGATGGAACAACACGATGTCAGTTTTATTTAAAAAAACAGAGGATGGATGCAGAAGGACTGGTTGATGCCAGGTTCTGGGGGCTGATGGGAACATGCATGCATGCTCAATTGTGTCTGACTCTTTTCAACCCCATAGACTGTAGTCCGCCAGGTTCCTCTGTCTATGGGATTTCCCAGGCAAGAATACTGGAGTGGATTGCCACTTTCTCCTCCAGAGGATCTTCCCCACTTAGGGATTGAACCCACATCTCCTGTATCTCCTGCATTGGCAGGCTTCTTCACCACTGAGCCACCTGGGAAGCCCCGATGGAAACAGCAGGGCTCACTATTCGCAAATGTTCCTTTCAGGTATTATAGTAGTTTAAAAGTCAATCCACTAAAATGTTTTTTCAGAAAAGGTAATTATTCTTGTTCTGTGGAGTCCAGTCAGGCCCAGTTCAGGGTGGAGCCTCAGGCCAGGTGAGTTCTGACAGCCCCTTTCTCCCAGAGTTCAGATCCCCTCTAAGAACCACGGATCTGAAGGCTGGTGACCCCTCTAAGGTGCGATCCATGTGCCCACTCCAGCCAAAGTGAACTTTCAAAAGAACCCTTCTGGACAGTCTTCTCCCCATGGGTCCCTGCTCTACCTGGGAAAACATGCAAACTTCCTAACAGGGCCCCACAGCCTCGTGTGACCTAATTATTTTTCGTTTCTGGAACACACTGCGTTGGTTCCACCTAGGGTGTTTGCATTCACTGTCCACCTGCTTGGAAAGTTCCTCCCCTCCTCTTCTCCTCACCTGGCCAATTATCCTCCATGCCTTCTTCTAAATGTGACTTCCTCACACACCTACCCCAAACCGTCTCCCTTCCCCAACTCCATTTTATCCTCCTTGCAGCTGTGTTTCAAAACATATGTTTCTTTTTTTCCTTTATAGCTGAGGTTCTCAATCGGAGGCAATTTCTCTCCCAAAGGACATTTGGCAAAGTCTAGAGGCATTTTCCAAGAGTGGCTGCTAAGAGGAATGTGGCCAAGGATGTTGCTAAACATCCTATAATGCTTAGGACAGCATCCCCAGCAAAAATGTCAACATGGGCTGAGGTTGAGAAAGCCTGCTGGAGAGCAGTTACTGTCATCTGTCACTACATATTCACTTGTGTAGTTACTTGTTTAACGTCTGTCTCCAGCAATAGACTCTTAACCTGCCTGCAGGCAAAGAATATGTCTGTTTGATTCATCCTGATTCCCAAGTGCCTGGCACAAGTGTTCAGTAAACACTGGGTAAATAAATAACTGTATTAGCTGAGGTCTATCAGGCGCTGACTCTGCCAGTCAACAGTCTTATGAATTAAGAACTATTAGCTCCTCCATTTTACAGATGAGGAAACTGAGGCTTGGGGGATCCCTGGGTACATGTGGGAGTCTGTTAACCAGAATATCTGGTTAGGCCGAAGGACACACATGAGTGACTCACCTGAACTCCCTCTCCTGGGTCTGAAAGTCCCTTGTTTAGGGAAATTTCCACCCGAGGACAGGGGATTGGCACCTTTCTGTCGCTGTTTGGACCTTTCCCAGTAGACGAGAGTGACTCTGGGCCAGGTCACTATGCCCCCTTGTGGCCATTACCGGGATTGCAGCTTCCCCAGTGGGGAAAAGGCCCACTTCCCTCCCTGGCTCTGGGAAGCAGGGTGACAGGCCCCTCTCCACCACTGCCTGGAGGAAACCACACCTCTGGCACCCAGGCTAAAGGCTGCCTGAGGGGAGCTTAGCCTGAGGCAGCCAAAAACAGAACAGGGAAGTGAACGGCCCAGCTCTCATTCACTGTGACCTTACCCTCCCTTTCCAGGGCCTCAGTTTCCTCATCTGGAAAATGGGAGCATCAGTACAGGTCTGAGGCTGGGGTGAGGGAGAGGCTCCTGGAGGCCCGGAACTCACCGAGGTGTAGGCCCGCCCACACATGCTGCAGCAGTAGGCCTTGGCGTGCTTGATGGCGTGGGCCGAGAGGTGGATCTGCAGGGAGGCGGAGTCCGAGTAGGCCCGGTAGCAGTTGGGACACTTGTAGGGCTTGTCCTTATTGTGCTGGCGCTGGTGAGACTGTGGGGAGCACAGCGGGGTCAGGAAGCAACTGGGCTCCCCTGGAGGGGGTGGAGGGGGCCGTGCACCTAGCAGGCGGAGCGGGCAGGCAGGCACTCACCTGGAGGTTGGAGAGCTGAGTGAAAGCCTTTTCGCAGCCAGGATGTGGGCACTTGTAGGGTCTGTCGCCTGTGTGGATTCTGCAATGGGGAGTCCAGTGAGGCGGAGTCCCTGGCAGGTCCCCAGGCCAGCTCCGGACCCCAGGCCCTTGGCTGGCCTGTCCCACACCTCTGGCCCCCAAGCCTCCCAGGCTCCCTGCTCCACACATTCCCCCCCCCCCCCCCAACCCCGAGTGAGCCCCAGGCAAGAGCTGGGGCTCTTCAAAGGCCAGCACTGTCCTTTCTTCTCCAGCCTCCCACTTCCGGTCTGTGACCAGCGCCTCCAGGCTCCTCACAGGGCCCCACTAAACCCAGCCCTCCACCAGCACTCACTCAGGCCTCACAATCATCACAGTGGGCTTACTTTGACTGCATTCTGCCCCTCTTCTAAAAAAAGTCACCTGCAGACCAACCCACTGAAAAGAACAGATTCACAGCTTTGCCAGGACCTTTGCTGCCTGCCTGCCTCTCTTAGGAGACAACTCCCCAACTGGCCCCCAGTTTTCATGTCCTGCCCCCCCAAAGATGTGGCTATCTGGTCACCCCAGCTACTGAGAGACTTCAGGGCAGGGTGGCCCTGAAGGTCAGCCCCTCTGTGTCCTTTCTGTGAGCCCCTTTTTGTTCTCATCCTGGCTCCACCATTTACTAGCCGGGTGACCTTGGTCAAATCACTGTGCCTCTGTTTCCTCATCTGCAAAATGGGTATAAAAACACAGTCCCTACCTCACTGGGCTTTGTGAAGATTACATTAGATGATATGCAAAGGGGCTTAGCCAAATATCAGCACGAAGTCAGTACACCATCACCACATACCATTATTATTATTATTCATTCATTTAACAATTACTATGTCAGGCACCTGGGTGCCAGGCACCACCCTGGGTGCTTGGAACATATATGTGAACAAAACAGACAAAACTCACTGCCTCATGGAAACAAACAACAAGCGTGAAATAAGTAAGTAAAGCGTGTGTAGAAGGTAATAAGTGCTCAGAGAAGAAAGCGGATGAGAGGGGTCATGTCAGGGGTGCAATCTTAATTAGGGTAATGGGGGTCCTCACGGAGAAGGAGACTTGGGAGCAGTGACTTCAAGGCTGATGGCTGAGCTTTCTGATGGCTGCTGCCGCCTGCACTTGCCTAGCAGCCAGGTGAGGACGGAAGCGGACTGGGATCCAGTACAAAACCGGGGCTCAGGAGCGCAGCACACACACACGGACGGGAGGCCCTCCCTGCTCTCGTAGGCTTGTCCTCAGTCACCCGCTCTGGCAAATCCTGTGCCAAGCAGATGGGCAACGAAATGCAGGCTAGACATGGCCTTCTTTTGCCTAAGTTGCCAACAAGCATTAGATGGGAGGGGGAAATCCATCTCTGACCACGTGGTCCAGCTCCTTCCCGAAAGCCCCAGCCCCCTGGGTTTGCTCTACCCATCAACAGATTCATCAAACAACTAAGGTTCCTCTGGCCAGGCCCCATGCTGACCAGGCTGGAATAAAGAACACTCACTGCCATCAGTGAACCCATGGCCTTGACTGCCCACTATGAACACGGACAGTCCAGATTCCCTAGAGTGCCATCAAGGCCCTTCACCTGCGGTCGGCCTCACCTCTCTGCTCCTGCACCCTGCATCCTGGCAGGAGGACCATTTCTCATCTGCAACCATGTCTGATGGATGCTTCTGCTCACCACCCTTGTGCCCTGGCTGCATCCTCAGCACGCGGCCGCCCCTCCTGTCTTCTCTACTAGACAGGGAGCCCCAACGGTAGGGACAGCGCATCTCAGGCTGCGTGGAGACAGGCCAGGTGGAGCTGGGCTGCAGTTCTGAGGACCTCTATTCTACCTGCACTTTTAGGGGCATCACATGTTTGGGGACATCATCCCAGGCTGCTGCACCCCATCTCTACAATGGGAGCACCTTAATGGTCACCTGGACCAGTTGTGCCTGCTGCCAGAAACCTTCCATTTCATCCTATCCTTGCCCAACCCCCCCCCAGGGCTGTGGAACTTGATCAGCTAGGGGTCAGGTGGCAGAGGGGACCAAGGCACCCCAGGATGTATACTGATTTTAAACCCCACAATGCCCACCCCAAAGTCCTTGCCTCCCACTGCTGCCCAGGTCATGCCTCTTCCCCGCCCCAAGGCTCCAGCCCTGCCACCCCCCTCCAATCCCACCCGGAACATTTCAGTCCCTTCCTACCTTCCGTCCTGTATCCAGACTGCTCTTCTAGGCACACTCTTCCCCCAGCTCATACCTGGCCAGAAGCTAGACTCCAGGTCTCAGTATAAAAGTCCCTTGATCGGGGAAGCTTTTCCTGACCCCCCAGCCTAGACCTGGCCCCTGCGCCTGCCCCCGAGCAGAAGTCCGTGTGTGGGCACGTGCTTTGTCAATGTCTAGTCACGGACACTGGCTGCCTCCCTCCGTGAGAGCAAGAATGCTCTCGGTCTCTTCACCACCATCATCCCAGGGCCTGGCACAGGAACTCACATAGGAAGGTGAGTTCTTTCCTCCTGAGGTCAGTCACTGCATAGTCAGCAGTACCATGCTTCATATAATCCACACCACCTACCCCTCAGCGGTATTACGAAATACCTTTCTTGTGTTTGTTGACTGACTGACTAACGGTTCTCCAGGGACATCAGGTCCTTCCTTCGGACGCTGCTCCTCTGGCTTCCTCCCTGAGTGCCACAGCTGCCCAGCCTCCTTCCTAGACCCTCAGCCTCAGCCTCTCCTGGTCTCCACCACAGCAGCAGCGTGGGATCCGACCTTGTCACAGCCCTGCTTTGCACCCCCTACATCTCCCCCTTTTCCGGGAGAATCCAGATCCCCAGGCCCCCACCAGCCTGTGAGCCTTTGCTCATGCCGTTCCCCCAGTTGGGAACACCATTTCCACCTCTCACTAGAAAGGGCTACAGACCCTTCCACACCCAACCCAGATGATCCTCCCCAACCTTCACCACATATTTCCTGCTTTCATGGGATTTTTCACATCCATCAGCCTCCCGGGTCATGGTAGGAGTTCCTTTGACCCAGAGCCTGCCTCTGGCCACTGATCTCTTCTTATGCATGGCACTCAGCACTGGGCTGGCTGGGAAGGGCTTCAGGAAGCCACAGTTCCTCTGATAACTGGCCCCCAAGCTCTTCAGCCTCTGAAATTCAAATCAGGGCCACGTCCTCAATTCCAACAGGAGTCATCTCTTTGCAGGGCATCTTCCCACTAGGGGAGCACCCAGCCCTGACTCCCAACATCTGTAGTGATGGGGGGGAGCTCACCACTGACTCCAGGCATGGGCAGTGCAGGGAGGCAGAGCTGAAATCAGTGTCCTGGGCTGCTCCTTCACCCAACTAACCACCCCAAGCTCACCCTGGCATTCAGAAGACTCGCCTTGCTCTCCTGCCTGGACCTCGCCCCACCTTCTTCTGCAGCCTGACTTCCCAAACCTGCCGCCTGCACCCCTCTTGCCCCACACCCCTGCCAAGCCACAGGCTGCTCCTTGGCGCTCTGGCTTGCAACTCACTTCTGCCTCCTCTTAGCGGGGTGGCCTTGGGCAAGTGACTTTGCCTCCCTGAGCTCCCATTTCCTCACCTCTAAAATGGGGATAACAATAAGGATTGTAGGGACTTTCTCAGTGGTCCAGTGGTTAAGAATCTGCCTTTCAATGCAAGGGACTCGGATTCAATCCCTGGTCTGGGAACTAAGATCCCACGAGGCAACTCAGCCCACGTGCCACAGCTACTGGGCTTGTGCTGCTGCTGCTGCTGCTAAGTCACTTCAGTCGTGTCCAACTCTGTGCGACCCCGTAGACGGCAGCCCACCAGGCTCCCCCATCCCTGGGATTCTCCAGGCAAGAATACTGGAGTGGGTTGCCATTTCCTTCTCCAATGCGCGAAAGTGAAAAGGGAAAGTGAAGTCGCCTGTGCTTCCCACAAAAGATTCTGCATGCCGCAACTAAGACCTGACGCACCCCAAAATAATAAATATATTTAAGTATGGATTGTTAAGGACTGTAACTTACAGAAAGGGTGTTCCTAAGACATTTTCACAGCGTTAGCTTTTAATAGACTCATGTCTCTTTTAAGATAATTTATGAAAAACAAAGGGGGAATTTATTCTATGTTTAAATAGAATTATGGAGAATTCATTAGTTACCATTTATCCTTTACCCTCCAGGTAAGAAACGGCATGTTACATTGAGTGGCTTTAGTCCCACTGTGTTTCATAACTAAAACAATGATGGATACAGTAAAAACGGACCTTCCTTGAGATGGTTCTCTCTCTGTGGCACTTTTCAGATTCTTTATCTCTTATTTAGAAATAGGTTAGTACTGTGTAAGGACTTTATGGATATCTTGTATATATACAAAGTATGTATAAGGCATACCGTGCATGCCTTACACGGGAACAGACACTTAGAAGCTCTCTGACAAGCAGCAGTTGCTGCTAGGATGTGACTATCATCACACTTGAGAAAACTTACCCTGCCACAATTAGCATCACACATGTACACAACATCACATAGCCAGGAGAAGGAAAACAGAGGCAAAGCCCACTCCGCAGCCCGAATAAACAAGCACAACCAGAGTCACTCTGTCTAGCAGATGTTCCCCAAACAGGTAAAAACATCGAGCCCTTTCTCAGACCTCATAAACTAACCCCCTCATGAGAGTTAGTTTATGAGGACTAACCCCCTCATAAAACAAGGTTATCCCTGATTTCTGCATCGTGGCATCTACAGATGTGTTACCTTCTACAGAAACACAAGACATCTGCTGTATCTCTACCATGAACAGACTCACTACAAATTCCTGTTCATTTTCTCCTTAAAGACGCGTGGTATTTATAACTTACAGGGCTGACCCTTCTGAAGTCTGGATTTCTGCAAACACTTTGCGAGTCACCTTTCTCGTCTTGTACCTTCCTTTCACAGATGGAGGTCCCACCGAGATGCTCCAGAGCTGCCAGGCCACTCAGATTGCACAAACCCCCACATGCTTTCAGGCACATCCTTCTCAACTCCCAGGGGATCCTGCTCAACCTGCCCCTAGC